GATCAGAGAACCCGGTCTCCTGAGTAGCCCAGGTCTGTTGCCCCTTTCCCACCACCCCTGCCTTCCTTGAATAAAACAGTAGCTCTAAGACCAGCAGACCAGCCACCATGGTCCTTGAAATGACACTTACACAAGATGAGTGCTGGAGATCCTAGATAGAGTGGGAGAAAAGTGTGGAACAAAACTCAAAATCATAAAAAAGACCAGGCTTACTGGTCTGATAGAGCCTGGTGAAACCCTGGAGACTATGGCCCCTAGTCACCATTCAGGTCTGGAATTTAACTCACTTCCATAGCTACTAGCCAAACAATGGGCAGGCATATAAGATGAACTTTTATACCAGGTAGGTACACTCCTTGGAAAAATCAACCATGGGAGATCAGAAGGGCAGTATTTGCACGGGGAGATAGTTCAGAGGGCAAGACTGCACAGGAAAGGAGGACACAGGGAAAAGGTAACTACGGGAGGAATTAGGAAGAAAGTTGTTACCTTATGGGGATTGCAATCAGTGTCATGAAACAAAATGTGTATGAACTGCTGTATGGAAAACAAATTTGCTCTGTAAACTTTCACCCAATCATGCACACAGGAAGAAAAAGAAAAAGGATGGAAAGAAATGACCCTTGCACGAGGCTGAGCTCCCAGAGCATCATGCCTGAGAAACACATGCAGACAGCCCATATTCCAGAAGCTGAATCACTGCAGCCTTGACCCATGGAGTATGTATTAATGGCTAATTACAGTTACCACCCATTAATAACCACGACCAAGGCTTGGTTGATTTCCACAACCGATTATCACCTGGGCTTAATAGTCTGTGATCATAAGAGGGACCAGGAAGCTCCTTTGTTCGTGGAGCTGAAATTGGCATGGTAACCCAAGATACAGCATGTGCTGTCTGCTTTTCGGCACGTAGGCAGCTCCTCGACTAGGAGGCAGCCAAGGGCAGCTGAGCAAATGCTGTCAGACCCCCGAGACCAGGCCTCACTTGGAGGACACTAGTTAAAGGAAGAAAGTGATCTACTTTGCCAAACTGAAATCTTCAACTTCAGGGTCCACTTTCTGGATGCTAGCCACTACCACTTTAATATAATATCATTGGTCATCCATTGTAGGCTGCCAGCAGAGAGGTTTAGTTCTTTAACATTCAAGACCAAGAAGGAGCTCTGGTAGCACAGTGCCTACAGCATCTGACTGCTAACCAGAAGGTTGGTGGTTCAAACCCACCAGCCACTCCACGGAAGCAAGACTGGGCAATCTACTTCAGTAAAGATTTACCACCTTGGAAACCCAATGGGGGTTGCTGTGAGTCAGAATCGACTCATTGGCAGTGGCTTTGGATTTATTATTATTATTATTATTACCTTTTTCCATCTGAGAACCCGGAGGCTGAAGACAAGCCATTTGCCTAAGGGTTAGATGCACACATAGAACTCCCACTCAGATCTGGCAAGTCATTAATTGGACATTCATTCAGTAAATTTTTATTAAGTGTATTTTTATGCCAGGCACTGTTCTAAGGACTGAGGATAGAACAATGAAAAAAAAAAAAAAACTACTCTTTTAAGTGCTTGGCTGCTAATGTAAATGTTAGAGGTTCAAGTCCACCCAGGCACCTCGGCAGAAGAAAGGCCTGGTGATGTACTTCTGAGAAAGAAGTCCTTGGAAGGCCTGTGGAGCAGAGTTCTACTCTAACACACGTGGGCTCACATGAGTTGGAGTCAGCAGGAACTAGTTATAATGTTTATATTTCAGAAAGACCCCCAAAAAAGTCAACAAGTAGGACATCAGAGAGTAGTGAGTTCTGTGAGGGAAAAATGCAGAATAAAAGGCTAATGTGATGGGGAGAAGGGAAGGCTGCTTTAGATATGGTGGTCAGGAAAGGCCTCCCTGGGCAGGAGACATTTGAGCAGAGATCTCTTGAAGCATTTGTTTGTTTATGTGTTCATTTGGAGAGACTCCATTGGCTATAGAGTGGGGTTGGCTGTAATCTTTACAGAAGCCGATCACCAGGCCTGGATCTTCTGCACCACTGCTGGGTGGGCTCGAACCGGTAACATATGGGTTACCAGCCAAGTGCAGACCATCTGTGCCACCCAGGGACTTTTGAGCAGAGATCTGAATGTGAGGAGTGGTCATGTGAAGATCTGAAGGAAGGGCATTCTGGGTAGTGGAAACAGCAAGTGCAAAGGCCTTCGTTCAGCAGGAACATTTGAGAAGGCGAGGTGAGGGAGTTGGCCAGAGCCTTGTAGGGTTTGCATTTGGTTCTAATTGTGACAGGTTTCAAGCCTCTGTTATCCCCATGGAAAGAAGAAAGCACTTTGTCCCTGGAGCCATATCTCTAGGCTTACAGTCATTTCTGTGGTCTGGGAGGAACCCAGGAGGGAGAGTTAGAGTGTAGGAGGGAATGAGATCAGAGAGGAAGAATCGAAGAGTCTGCTGCTCCAACTCGCAGGCTTCAGACCCGTGGTTCTTCAGTGGTGCACATTAAGATAGATCTCCTGCCCTATCCTGTGCTCGGGAGCGAGGGAGGGTGTTGAGGAAGGGTTGGGCAGGTGAGAAATGATCCCCACACTCCAGGCTGAGTCATGGGCTGGGCTCTGGGAGCAGAGCTGTGCTGGGGAGAAACCTGTGGTGGAGGGACCAGTGAAGATTTGCTTGGCACAGGCTGCTGAAGAGAGGCTGAGACTCAGGCAGAGATGTGGGGGAAGAAGCAAAATGGATGCCTAAGAGACAGTCTAATTACAGTAACAGACTTGGTGACACTGGATGTGAGAGTTGAGGGAGAGGGAGGATCGTGGGGTCAACTGGCCTCTTGAGTGGCTGGTTGGTGTCATGGTCTGAAATGGCACAGCCAAGAGGAGGCACAGAAGGCTGCTTTTTGCCACACAAGAGCTCATTTTCTGGCTTCCTTGTGCCAGACATGTTGTAGTTCAACCACTCAGGCAGGTAATGGAATCAGAGTCCTGAGAACATAGGGGTACTCTCTACATAGCATCTTGTCTGCCGTGTGGCTTCCTGAAGGCAGAAATCCCTTCAGTGGGGTTCATTTTGCCCCTTCTCAGAGCCCCCATTCCCTACTAACCAAATATTAACATTTTCTTTTCTTCTTTATTGTGGTGAAAATACATACACCAAAACATACAATTTCTACATGTATATTTCCATGACAATGATTCTATTCTTCCAATTGTGCACCCGTTGTCACTATCCCTTTCCACGTTATTCTGCTACTTTTAAGAAAAACTCAGTGCCCCTAAGCAAAACCTGCCCCCTTTCCCTTTCCTTCCACCCCTAAACCACACACTCCAAACTCACTGCCATGGAGTAGATTCAGACTCATAGCAACCCCCACAGGGTTTCCAAGTCTGTAAATCTTTATGGAAGCAGATTGCTTTCTCTTTCTTCTGTGGAACAGATAGTAGGTTTGAACTGCTGACCTTTTGCTTAGCAGCCAAATGCCTTAACCAGTGCACTACCAGAGCTGCTTAACCTCCTACTCCTAGTAACCACTAATAACTTTTTGGTTTCTATATATTTGATTAGGAGCCCTGGTGGCACAGTGGTTAAAACACTTAGCTGCTAACCAAAAGGTCAGTGGTTTGAACCCACCAGCCTCTCCATTGGAGAAGGATGAGACAGTCTGCTTCAGTAAAGATTTATAGCCTTGGAAACCCTATGAGGCAGTTCTACTCTGTCCATAGGGCCCTGAAGCAGAATCAACTCGAAAATGACTTTTCTATATTGACTTATATAAGTGAGATCATAAATACTTGTCCTTTTGCAACTGACTTATTTTGCTCAGCATAATGTTTTCAATCACATGCATTAGAACTCCATCTCTTTACAGCTCAGTACTATTCTATTGTATGTATCTATGTCCCACATTTTGTTTATCCATCCATCTGGTAGTAGCCATTTTAGTTGTTTCCACATTTTGGCCATTGTGAAAAGTGTTTCTATGAACATTGGGGTACAGGTCTCTGTTGACATGTCTGCTTTCACTTCGTCTGGGCATATGCCTAGGATTGGGGTTGCTGGGTCATATGGTATTTCTTCGTAAAGCTTTTGGAGGAACCACCAAACTGTTTCCCTAACGAGCTTCTGGGCTATAAAATCAGACCTTGGAAAGGCCACCTTTGATAGAATTTTGATAGATTAATTTTTCCAATTATAAAATTAACCCAGAATCACTGTAGATAATTTTGAAAAGGCAGAAAAAAAATAATTTAATGTATTTATTTCCCCTTTTTCTCCTATGCAGTGGTTTGTTAGTTATTTCTTAGGTGGGATCCTGTGACATATTATCAAGTAAATTTTCTATGCATTTTTAATTTTTGGTTCATTGCATAGCCGCTTTTTCTGTTATTACAAACTGTGTTGGGAAACCATTTTTCACAGCTGTCTAATTTTTCACTGCATGGGTATATCATACTAATCCTCGGTTACTATACCTCCAGATTGTTTCCAATTTCATGTAATAAATACATCAGTGGTGCCATTATATACTAAATAGTTTCCACCTTTAGAATTGTTTTCTTAAGCTTGGAATTCCAAATATGGAATTCCTGACACAAAAAGTATGCATATTTTTTAAGTTTTTGATGCTTACTGTCACATTCCCCTCCAGAAAGTTTATACTAGTGTAATTCCCCACAGTAATATCTTCAAGCACTTATTATTATTATTACTATTATTATTATTATTATTTATCACCTTCATAGCTCTGGGATTTAAAAAAAAAACCTGATCTTGCTTATTTGGTAGAAAATATCATCCTGCTTTTGAGTAGCATTGTGTTTAATAGTTGTATGGTGTCTAACCTGGCAACAACATGGTTTCCCATCCAGGAAGCTGTACTATTGTTTAACTGACTGTTTCTCATTGGGTTGTGCATTTAGGACATTTCCAGTGTTTGGGTTTTATAAGTTACACTGTTCTGAATGGCTCTGCACTCAGAATCTGAACTGATTCTTTGCCTGTGTTGTTTCTCTCTCAAGGACTCTATGATGCCCGGGCCAGAGTCCTCGTTTGCCACATGACCTCCCTGCTCCAGGTGCTCTTGGAGGAGATAGATGTCCTTGAAGAGACATTTCTTGAGAGCCTGAAGGAAACCAAAGAGGAGGAATCTGAGTAAGAGACCCCTGTGACTCGTCACTGCACTTCCACTTAAGTATACTTTTCAGATAACGGCACCCTCTTTCCCCCATTAAGTGGAGGTGCTGTGAAGTGGAAGGAGCATTGGACAAAGAGTGAGAAGTCCCAGCTGTGGCCCTGACTCACTGTCTCCCCTCAGCAAGTCACTTTCCCCCTCTGAACCTCAGTTTCCTCATTTATAAGAAGAGGGGATTGAATTGATGATTGCAAAGGGCCATGAGTATGCAGTTTTAACAGTTCATGACCCTGACACACAGGTGTGGGTGTTTCTTGCCTCTACCCTGCTCCATCTTAGTCTCTTGTGACACCTTGTCCCTAGGCCGTGTTGAGCCCATGGAGCCAAATAGACCTGGGTTTAAATTCCCCTTCTGACACCCATCCACTGTCCTGAGGCAGGTGCTCCCCTTCTCTAAACCACAACATTTTCATCTGTAAAGTGGAATAAGGGTACCATCCTCCCAGAGTCATTATGAAAAATGCATGAGATCATATTAGGAAATGCTTGGCCCAGGGCTGGCACGTAGGAAGTGCTCAGTAGATATGAGTCCTCCCCCCCACTGCATGTGCTCCTGTACTTAACAGTTGCAGGAGGGTTTTGTTATCTATATATGGTAAGGAGTGTGTAGAAGAGAATTATACTGGTAACTTGGCCAGAGAGCGGCTCTTTCTAGAACACCTCACACAGGATCTTATCCACGAGCAATAAATCAATCACAATCACCACCTAATTGCGGGCTCCTTGCACCAGGCACGTCTCCCTTGACTGGGTTTGGTTCAGTCGCCATGGCTTTCTTTGAGCAAACAGATCGTGTCAGCTCAGCCTAGCTGAGAATTGAAGCCACGTTCAGAGCCAGGGTTGCCCTCCTGGATTTGTTGGGTTAAGGGGAGGGGTGTTTCCTCAAGAAAGGAGAAATTTGATCTGTTGAATTGACCTGAAAACAGACTTGCGTTGGCTCCCAGAGCTGTGTTAGTAAAGAAATATCTGAATCCAAGCCAAGTACCATAAACAGGAGGGCTGCCTGAGTTCTTAGAATATATTGGAAATTTGTAGTGTCTTACAGGCCTTGAAATGAAGGAGCCTTAGTTATTGTTTGGAAATCTTGTCAGAAAGACACATATTACCCAGAGGGATTTGTTCTGATTAAACACCAGTAATGCCAGACTAGGGAAGATGTAAAACAGAAGTTCTAGCCTTCTTTGGGTTAGACACAGCCCAGCTCTGCCACTTACCACCCATACGAGCTATGACAAGTTATTTAACTTCTCTGGGCCCCTTAGTTGCTCAACAGCAAAATGGGATCATAACAGCACCCACCTGATAGAGTTTTTATTGGACTCAAATGCGTTCACACGTGTGAGGTGCTTTAGGCAGAATAACTCGTCAATAAATATCATTATTTGCTGTTTCTAATATTACTGTTTTAATCATTTTTATTATGTGTGGACACTTTCCCCATAAAAATGTTCCATGTGTATAATTTTTTACTCAATTTCAGGGTCTTTGTAGACCTCCCAGAGCCTATATGTGGTTTCTGGAAGGGTCTGATGCCAGGGAAAGCATAATACCCATTCAGCCAGGAGACCTGGTTCTCATTTTGATTCTGCCACTAGCTGTGTGTGGCCTTGGACACATTACTTCCACTCTCTGGCCACCAGTTTTTCACTTGTACAATTAGAGGATCAAATTAAATGTAGGGTTTTTTTCAGCTCTGAGGTTTTGTGTTTCTGTAAGGTGAGCTTAGCACTCAGTACTCCTAGGTGATTGTTTCCGGGGCTCAGTGTGCCAACATTCTGTTCTTGGGTCCCCATCTGAGCCCTAAGGCTGTCTTAGCTTCCCCAACTTGTTTAGTGACATCACCTCTCAGTGCCTCAGTTTCTTCATCTCTAGCATGGGAATAATAATAGTATCTACATTGTAAGGTTGTTGGGAGGGTTCAGTTAATCAATACATATCAAATGCTTGGCACGTAGTGGGCTTTCAGTAAGCTTTAGCTCATACACTGCTGGAGGTTGATACTGGTCCCCTCACAACTAACTTTTATTGAATGCTTACTGAATGCCAGCATCTGACGTCATTTCATTTGATCCTCATTTCATTTGATCCTCATAGCAGTCCCCTGAGGGTTTTGCAGATGAAGAAACAAAGACATAACTCACCCAAGGTCACACAGCTATCAGTAGTAGGGCCAGGATTCAAACCAGGCCTGTCTGAGTCAACCACCATAATATCCAGTCTGAACATCACTTATTACATCCCTGAGGCTATAGTTGACAATCTCAGGTGTCCTCCTTAATTCTGAAGAAAGCAATAAAGATAATTCTTTTATGGGGCTTTCTAGCTTTTACTAGAAAAATGTCTCTAGATCTCCTGGGATAAACTCTCCCTCCCTATCAAGAGAAGGTTATTAAAAAAAAAAAAAAAGAAAAAAACGGAGTAGAGACGATAAGCATAGGGAACACCCTCTTGTAGGAGATAAGATGGCAGTGAGTGAAATTTTGTTATTTGTGGATCTGTGAGATGGACAGTATGGATGTCTTTTTATTTTTTTTTTCCTCCCCCTTGTACAATTCAGTGACCTTGGTTACAGTTCTTCAAATTGTACAACCATTCTCACTTTCCAATATTCCCTGTCTTCCTTCCAAGGAGAACTAGAGGGTAGACACATATTAATTTTAGTGAAGAAAAAAAATTTTCAAAAGAAATAAAAATTTTCTAATTAAAAAAAAATAATAAAGGGATTAGGTTAAAAAAGAAAAAAAAATAGGTTGGAGGATTAAGGCCTTTCAGAGGCACCTCAGAGCAAAGGCCTGGTAATGTACTTCCAAAACGTCTATCATTGGAAAAAAAACAAAAAACAAAGAAACACCTCACTGCCCCTAAACTTTCCCATTCAATCTTTTCTTTTTCTAAGCACTGCTCCATTTCTGTCTTCCTTCATTTCACCACAGTATTGATGGTGGAATACAGAGGGATGGTGAATGACAGTGGAAGCCCAGAACATATCCAGGTGAGGCCACATGTGGGAGAAAATGGCCCCATTCATAGATACTAAGGCATGGCTACCTCTCAATGCTGAACTCCCATGAATAGTCAACCAACCCAGTTAACCAGTTGCCCTCAAGTCAGTGGCAATTCACAGGGACCCATGAGTGTCTCAGAGTAGAACTGTGCTCCATAGAGCTTTCGCTGACAGACGTTTTGGAAGTAAATCACCAGGCCTTTCTTGTGAGGTGCCTCTGAAAGGACTTAATCCTCCAACCTTTTTCTTTTTCTTTTTTAAACTAATTCCCTTTTATTTTTTTTTTTAATTAGAAAAGTTTTATTTCTTTTGAAAATTTTCTTTCACCAAAATTAATATGTGTCTACCCTCTAGTTAGTGGATTAATTACCCTCCCTCTACACTCACCGCTAATAACCATCAAAGAATATTTATTTTTTAGTGAAACCCTTGTCTTGATACTTTATAATGGTGGTCTCATAACAATATTTGATCTTTTGTGATTGACTAACTTCACTCAGCATAATAGGCTCTTAAGTTCATCTATGTTATGAGACGTTCCCCAAATTCATCATTGTTCTTTAATGTTGCGTAGCATTCCATTGTGTGTATGTAGCAGAGTTTGTTGGTCTGTTCCTCTGTTGATGGGCATTTAGGTTGTTTCCTTCTTTTTCCTATTGTGAACAGTGCTGTGATGAACATGGGTGTGCATATATCTGTTTGTGTCATGGCTCTTATTTCTGTAGGATATATACCTAGTAATGGGATTGCTGGATCGTGTGGTATTTCTATTTCCACTTTTTAAGGAAGCACCATACTGCACTTCACAGTGCTTACCCCATTTTATAGTCCCACCAGCAGGGTGTGAGTGTTCCAGGCTCTCCACACCCTCGCCAGCATTTATTGTTTTCTGTTTTTTTGAACTTTGTTATTTGTGCTAGGGTGATATCTCATTGTTGTTGTGATTTGTATTTCTCTAATGGCTAATGATCCCACTCTGGTAGCATAGTGTCTAAAGCACTTGACTGCTAACCAGAAGGCTGGCGGTTCAAACCCACTAGCCCCTCCTTGGAAGGAAGATGAGTCAATCTACTTCCATAGTGATTCTGCCTCAGAAACCCAAGGAGGGGTCGTTATGAGTCAAGTCCAACTGGACAGCAGATAACAACAACAACATCCCACTTTAGGAGCTCTAGTAGCATAGTGGCTAAAGCACTTGACTGCTAACCAGAAGGCTGGCGGTTCAAACCCACCAGCCACTCCTTGGAAGGAAGGTTGGACAATCTACTTCCGTAGTGATACCGCCTCGGAAACCCAAGGAGGGGTCACTATGAGTCAGGTCCCACTCAACGGCACATAACAACAACAACAATGGCTAATGATCGGGAGCATTCTTAATATTAGCTGCCTGAGCATCTTCTTTGGTGAAATATCTGTTTGTGTCCTCTACTCAATTTTTCATTGGATTATTTGTCTTTTTGTTGTTAAATTGAAATTTTCTATAAATTTTAGAGATTAGCCTTTGACTAATATGTTGTTGCCAACATTTTTTTTCCCAGTCTGTGGGTTCTCTTTTCACTGTTTTGGTGAAATCTTTTAATGGTTATAAATTTCTGATTTTTAGGAAGTCCCAGTCATCTACTTTGTCTTCTGGTGCTTGTGCATTTTGAGTTATATTTGATAGGGTATTTATGCCCTGAATTAGGGCCCCTAAGTTTATCCTTATTTTTTCTTTGATGGCCTTTATGGCTTTAGGTTTTACATTCAGATTTTTGATCCAACTCGAGGTGACATTTGTACATGGTGTGAGGTATGGATCCTGTTTCATTTTTCTGCAAATGGATATCCAATTTTGCAAGCACCATTTATTAGACCATCTCTCCTCATTTAATAAATTTTGATCCATAGGTGGATGGACTTAATTCTTGGTTCTCAATTCTGTCCCACTGGTCTGTCATTGTACCAGTACCAGGCTGT